CCCCGGCCTCCCCCCACCCAGGCCTCCCCCCGCCCCGGCCTGTCCAGTGTGACCAAGGCATTCCCTCCCAGGGTCGGGCCCTCTGACCACCTACTCGGCGTGGTGTGCAGACACGTGTCAGCCCTTCAGCAGGACAGTGGAGGGGACCCTGATGACCCTGACCTGCTGCCAATCCGCCCTCTGCAACCTCCCGCCCTGGCAAGACTCACAGGGCACCGGGGCAGGGAGCCCCCTGGGCAGCCCCACAATGGTGACCACCCTCCTGCTCAGCCTCCTCCCAGGCCTTCAGGCTGTGGGGTCCTAAGTGGGTGGTCCCCCCCTAGCCGGCTCACACCCTGGGGGGCCAGCACGCTTACCCACTCACCCACCCGTCGCGCCCCGGCTTTGGAGAATAAACGTGGAGCACCTCCCACGGTCGGCCAGCACCGGCTCCTCCCCGCCCCGCGTGCACTTCGGGGGTCCGTCTGCCTGGCATCTGTGGCCTCCTGCCAGGCCTCGGCTGCTCACAGGGTGGGTCCACACAGCCTGGGTACAGAAAACACCGTCACGTGCCAGGGGGAGCCGGCGCCACTGAACCGCCTCCACACACGTGACTGCGGCCTGGGTTCCTGAGAAGTGGGCAGTGGGAGGGGCTGGGGAAGGGAAACCTAAGGAGCCCAGCGTCCGCTGTGGCCAGGCTGGCACCAGGCTTGGCCTTCCCAACTGGTGCCAAGACAGAGCCCTGGGACAGGAAGGAGGAAGCCTGGGTCTGAGCCTCAGTTTCCCCATGGAGCAGTATGGAACAAGGCCCTCGATCCCCACCAGCTCAACATCCCCTGGGTAGGGAAGCCCTGGGTCCTACCCTGCCTGTCCAGCAGTTAGATACCCTCCCACTCTGTTTCCTTCTTTCCCTATTAATGAAAACGTCCAAGCCTAGCAGGGGCGGCACATCCCTGAGGTGGAGGTGACATGTCTTTCTTCTTCTCCTTCCTCCTTCCTGCTCACTGAAATGATGGCTGGGGCTCAGCAGCCACTTTGCACCATGAGGCAGCACACTGAGGTTGGTAGGGCAGCATGGAGGAAGGGGCCTGCATCGCTGGTGCTCAGGAGCCATTATACCAGCCCCACACTGCCCACCTCGGGACCCCTTTCCTTGGGAGAGAAATAAATTGCTGTGGGGTTGAAGCGGGTCGTCTGGGTTTCTCCGTCATTGCCTTTCCACACGCTGTCACACACATGCGCTCCTGCGTGTGCATACTTTCTCACGCCACTCCTTCTAGTGCACATGCTCATGGACACAATCACCCACACGGCCCCCCACTACAGCACAGCAGAGCTCAGGGGCCACACGGAGTTCAAATGTTAGTTAAGCTCCTCCCCCCGCCCCGTGAATGCCCCGCCCCACCAGCTGCATGACCCAGATGACCGCCTTCACCCCCTGCTGGGTTCCCCTGGCTGCTGGGTGGGAGGGTGGAAGGGCCCTCCTGGGCGGGCCAGCCTGGTGAGGGCTGGCGAGCACCACGCGGCTGCTCAGAGCCGGTGCCTGGCAGGCAGTGCGCACTCAGCAAACGTGAGCTGTTGCCAGTGCAGCCCCACGGGCCCCAGCTCCTGTGCAGCCTGATGGGGGTCCCGGCCACCAACGGAATCTGCTTAGCCTTGCCCGCACCCCGCCATAGAAGCCCTGGGTGGGTCACCGCAAATTCCCCTCCAGCCTCTGCCTTAGAGGCCTGCTCTGAGTGCTCTGAGTCTGAGTGCATAGGACCCCCCCCCCCCCACATATCTCCGGAGCTGACCTCTTTCCCGGGCCTCGGCACCAGGTAGGAGTCGGGGGGCGGGTTCAGCCCGAGGCCACTGGCTGCAGAGCCCCTCCTGGCCTGGGGCTCCTGATTCAGCAACAGCCCCTTCTCCGGGGTTGTGGGGCCCTGTCCCCCACCCCATTCCTGCCCCTAGGGAAGCAGAAAGGGCAGCCTGCCCCGGGGCACTAACGGAGGGGACAGGAGGCGGCAAGCCCAGACGCGGGCGAGGACCTGGTGCGGTCAGAGAAGCCTGCCTGCTGCCACCCCGTCCCCAAACACTGCCCCTCCCGGCACCCGACTGCCCCACCTGGACAAGGAGGCCCCGAAATGAAGGCGTCAGCAGGCTACGCTTTTGGGGGCTGTGACGGCCCGTTTTAAGTGCCAGCCGGACTGGGTGAAGGGTGACCCACGGATTTCTGGGTGTGTCTGTGAGTTTCCAGAAGAGATTAGCACTTGAGTGAAAAGATCAACCCTGCTCGTGTGGGTGGGCCCCGCCTAATCCACTGAGGGCCGGGAAGGAACGGAAAGGAGGGAAGGTCAAATTCACTCTTCTGGAACTCGGAGTCCCACCCTCTCCCGCGCTCAGACACCAGAGCACACCCTTCTCAGGCCCCCACACCCTCCCGGGCCTCCAGCCGCAGAGGCGGGCAGGGCACCTCCGCGTGAGCCACCTCCTGTCCTGTCTCTGCCGCAGGACATCACCGGGTCCGGGAAGGACCCGCCGCTCCCTCGCCTCCTCGGGGCCACCTGCAAGCAGCTCGCAGCCCTTCCTCCACCCTCCATGTCTGCACCGCCTTCTGCCTCAAATCTCCCTCCGGCAACCTCTTGTAAGGGCCTTTGCGGTGATTACTGGGGTAATCGAGGGCAATCTCTTGTCCCCAGACCCCCAAGCCCATCACATCCGCCAACGCCCTCTGCCATATGAGGCCACGTGTCCAAGGCTCTGGGGACTGCGACACGGATGTTAGCCAGTCATCAGTGAGCTTAGCACGGCTCCCAACACCAGACCCCCTGGATGCCTGCCTGCCTGTGTGCTGGGCCGTGGACCCAGAGCCCAGTCCCAGGGCCCAGGAGAAGGGCTCACTGGTCACAGGGGCCACACCCCAGGAGTCAGACGTGGCTGTCAGCTCCGCGTGGCCCCTAACTGTGCATTTGCCGTCCAGACAGGATTCAGATGTCCCTGCGTTTGCTCATTGCTGGGTTCAGGCTCCTAGAGGGTCGGGATTTTTAACGTTGAAAATATGATGGGCCAGTGGGGGAGGGTGAGCCCCACGCTGCCCCCACGGGCACTGCCACCTGCGCCTCGAGGCTACGGTCACCCCCAGCCTGAGGTGGCGGAACACTCTCCCTTGGCCCGAGGCGCCGCTGCGCGCACACAGCTGTCCCAGGCACCTGAGCAACAGGGGGCTGTCGCAGAGCTGGCTGTGCCTGACTCCAACTCATGGGACGAATTCTAAGCACACCCCCCTCCCGCGAGCTCTGACCTGCTGAGACACAGAGACGTGGGGATCTAACACCCCCCAAAGAAGGTGCAACTGAGGATGCGGCTTGGGGTCAGGGGTGCGGGTGGGGAGGACACCTGATGACACAGACCTCAGGGGGCGCAAGAGAGACAGTGACAGAGCCAGAGGGTGACAGGCTCACCCAGCACCCACCCGCCTTGGGCACCGGGGCCACAAAGGTTACCCCAACACTCACCCTCCCTTGGAAACAGGTGTCTGGGGAATGGGGCTCCTCCTAGGTCCACACAGGCGGGATAACTCCCTGGGCTGAATGTGCTGCCTGCGCACGCTGGAGGGGCAGACAAAAGCCCAGCCCCGGAGCCCCCCAGCCCTGCCCCTGCTCTCTGTCACCCCCTCCCCAAGGGCTCTGAGACACTCAGCAGAGACACCCCTTCCAGAGGCAGCTCCCATGAAGCCAAGTCCATCCTGCACCCCGTGTGACACTCCCCCCCCCCCCGGTGGCCTTGGCAGGACCAGGACCGTGGGCTCTGTGACTCCTGCAGCTGAGCCAGGGGGCTCGGGAGCCTGGTGAAAAGAGCACCCACTGCCACGTGCCCCCCGCAAACCTTGCTCCTCCAAAGTTTCTACCTCTGGGGCCTCGGCTCCAGGCCCCTGCTCCAGGAGCACTAAACTCCACGCCATCTGAAAGGCCTGGTGCCCGTCTCCACATTCCAGCTGAGAAGCAAGATGAAAACAGAAGCGAAGCCCCCTCTGGCCTCATCCTACCGGTGCCCGCGCTCCCCAGGTCCGTCTTCACTCCCCTCCTGGATGTCCCGCCCCCGCCCCAACCCCTGGCCTCCTCAAGGTGCCGCTCTGTGTTCACGGGAGAAGAGACCTTTACTCACTCAGTCTGTGGTCTGGATCGGTCCACACTGCATCCAGCTGCAAGGAGCAGAAAATCTACCTAAGTGTAACTAGAAAAACAAGCCTTGGCTTTGTGCCCATAACCACAGCCTGGGGAGCACGGGGCAGGGTGGGCGGTGGGGGTGCAGAGATATGTCTGGCCCAGGCTCCCAGCCTTGCCTGCCGGCCATGGTCAAGCTCTAGGCCAGCGCGCTGCAAGGTGGGCTCACCTGGGACAGGGCAGAGCCTGCAGGTGCAAAGCCCACCCTTTTGCCCACTCCACCCCGCCCGGCCCAGCTTGGGGTGGGGGCCTGCCTGTGTCCAGGCGTGCTCAGGGCTGAGGCCCTGGGCCTGATTGCCCTCCTCCCCCCTTCCCTCCCCGAGAGCTGTGCCCCCCTGGCAGGACCAGAGTGACATTCTGGCCTTGGTGCCTGGCCCACAGCCCGTGCTGGAGCGGCCCAAGCACTGGGGGATCCCCGGACTCTGCCGGGGACCCACGCTGCCTGCGCTGGGGGTCGCCTGCGGGCCCCCCCTCGCTCTGTGTGGACTCAATGTACTCAGCAAGCCCCTGGTCTTCCTGGCCAGACGCCAGCCCAGCCCGGTGCCCGGAGCTCAGTGCCTCGGGACCTGGGCATTCCTGGAGCCAGCTTCCAGGTCTGGGGACCCGCCCATCACAGGGCTGATGTCTGGAGTCTCTCTCCTTTAGAATCCACGGGCTCGGCTTTTCCCTGGAACCTGCTCTTGGCCAGAGACCCGCACCTCGAGCTGCGCCGGCCCCCCATCACCCAGACTGCAGGCACAGGCTTGCAATGACGGGAGGCTGCCCCCAGGGGACCACGGCGTCCCCCCACCCCCCGCCCGCAGCTGGCACGGATTCAGACCACCCCTCTTCCTGGTGTGCGGGACATCACTACCACGTGCCGGGCTCAGAGTCCCATGAGTGCCAGCTGGCGCGTTGCCCTGCCAGAGGCCAGAGCAGGGAGGCCCAGGGCTGAGGAATGCGCTGGAAGCCGGACCAAGCGCCACAGCCTGGGGGTCACACGACAGAAATGTGCCGTCTCACAGCCCTGGAGGCCCACGTTCCAAGGTCAAGGTGCCACCAGTGTCAGTTCTTCCTGGGGCCTCTCTCTCCTCACACGGTCACACACACACACACACACACACACACACACACACACCCGCATGGCTGCTTCTCTTCTCGTAAGGTCACCTGGCCCAGGGCCCCCAGCGGCCTCCTTTACCTTAATCACCTCCACAAAGGCCCATCTCCAAGCATGGTCACCCTCTGTGGCCCTGAGAGCAGGACTCGGTGTGTGGATTTTGGGGACACAATTTGGCCCATAGCAGAGACACTGGCGTCAGTCCTGGGCTGAGTTGAGGGAGGTGTTTGCCAAGGACGGGGGAGATGGGCCTGGTGGTGACAGCCCGGCCCGGCGGGGGCCCTACAGACAGATGGGGGGCTGTAGCACATGCTGGAAAAGCCAAGAATCCAGC